TGCGAACTTGCTGAGGGTGCACACAAACCCTTTGTCTATGTCATTGATGAAGATATTGAAAAGCACTGGTCCCAAGACAGACCCCTGAGGAACACTGCTCGCCACAGGTCTCCCCCTGGACATAAAACCATTGATCATTGCTTATTGGGTGCAGCCATCGAGCCAATTATTTATCCAGTGGATGGTTCACCCTTCAAATCCATATCTTTCCAATTTAGAGATCAGGATGTCCTATGGGATTGTTTCAAAAGCCTTACAGAAGTCAAGTAGATGATAACAGTCAGTCTTCCCTTGTTGACTGATGCAGTTACTCTATCACAGAAGGCCACCAGATGGGTCAGGCATAATTTACTGTTGGTGAAGCCATGCTGGCTGTCCCAGATCACCTCCTTGTCCTGCATGTGCCTTAGCATTGTCTCCAGGAGGATTTGTTCCATAATCTTACCAGGCACGGAGGTGAGACTCACTGATGTGTAGTTCCCCATGCCTTACTTTCTACCCTTTTTAAAAATGGGAGTGATGTTTCCCTTTTTCGAGTCACTGGGGTGACTGCCATGATTTTTCAGAAATAATGAAGGGTGGCTTGGTGACTACATCAGCCAATTCCCTCAGGACCCTGGGATGCAAGTCGTTAGGGCCCGTAGACTTGAAGTTGTAAAATTGCATCAGGAGGTCCTGAATCTGCTCTTCACTTACTGTGGGGTCCTCTGCTTCCCCAGCCCCCACCTAGAGGTTTGGGGACACGAGATGTGGGAAGCCTGACTGGCAGCGAAGACCAAGACAAAGAAGTTGTTACGTACCTCAGCCTCCTCCAAGTCTGTCGTTACCTGTTCTCTGTCTTCATTTGTCTGAGGCGCTTCACTTAGTCTTTCTTTTGCAGCCAGTGTACCTGTAGAACCCCTTCTTGTTACTCTTTGCATCCCTCAACGAGTTTAGTTCTGTCAGTGCTTTGGCTCTCCTGATCCCATCCCAGCACTGGGACAGCATTTCTGTACTCTTCCCAGGGCACATGGCCCTGTTTTCACTGTCTGTGCGTTTCCTTCTGCCTAAGTTTGACTAGCACGTCCTTACTCAACCAAGCTGGTTTTGTACCTTCCCTGCTTGATTTATTGCATATGGGAATAGAGAGCTCATGCTCTCCAAGGAAAATATCCTTAAAGAATTGCCACCTCTCATCCGATCCTGTGTGCCTAAGGGCTGTGTCCCATGGGATCTCATCCACTAATTCTTTGAACAGCTGGAAGTTTTCTCTTCTGAAGTTCAGGGTCCTGACTTAGCTCTTAGCTGGGCCTATATCCCTCAAGATCACAAACTCAGTCAGGGTGTTTTCACTGCAGCCCAGGCTTCTTCCAATCTTAACCTCTTCAATGAGCTCTTCATTTCCTTTGTCTTAAAAGCAAATTAAGTTAGTTAAACAGGACTTTCCTCTTATGAACCCTTGCTGGCTTTGATCAATGACTGTGTTGTCTTTCAAGTGTTTTTCAGTAACTCCCAGAATAATTTCCATAATTTTCCAGGCATTGAAGTGAGACTGACGGGTTTGCAATTACCAGGCTATTCTTTCTTACCCTTCCTGAGAACAGGAACAACGTCTGCCAGCTTTCAGTCATAGAATCACAGAAACATTGAATGGCTTGTGTGGGAAAGGACCTTAAAGATCATCTAGTTGCAATCCCACTGCCATAGGCAGGGATGTCATCCACCAGATCAGGTTGCCCAGGGCCGCATCCAGCCCTGGGCAACCCTTGAACATCTCCAGGGATGGGGCGGGGCATCCACTACAGTTAACTGGGACCACTGCAGATTCCCAAGACTGTTGAAAAATAACAGAGATGTCTCATGATGACATCAGCCAGCTCTAATTACCCTAGGATGAATCTCATTGGGCCCTGCAGACTTACGGACATTCAGCTGCAGCAGCAAAACTTGCACAGGTTTGGATTTTGCTAGGAGTTTATCATTCCAACAGTCATGAGATGGAAAGATTTCAGATCCAAAGTGCACAATAGATATAGAATATGTAAGTTACACACCCTCTCAATAAATTGTATATTCCTCTCTGTTACCTGGACTGATCAAGCCCTGAATTCACTGTGAGGTCACAAGAATGATGAAAATATTTAAAATAATGGCAATATAAGCTCCTAAAAGGAAATGGTGCCAAAGAACAAATTTGGTGAAAAAAGTTAGCAAAAACAAAGCCACATTTGAGACCATTCTGTGAGGAAAAAATAAATAGATAATAATGGAACTAGAGGCAGAGATTTCACATCTGTTTGCTTTACAGATCTGGAAAATTTCAAGTAACAGAAGAAGTGTGATTGGACTTTACTAAGCTCTTAGATTTTTTTTTTTTAAAGTCTTTAAATTAAAAAGAAAAAGGAAAAAAAATAATTCAGAAAACTAAAAAAGTGATCCTGGCATTTTATATTTCATATCCTACTTATGTTTGGCTATTTCTTCATTGCTATTCTTTTGCAGCTGCATTATCCAGAAGAAAAAACTGCTGCTGAATATTGACTTAGTGACAGCTTTTTTTTTTTTCAGACATTTTGCATTTTCCTTCTATATGGATTATTGGTAAATGTTTATTGAATTGACATGAGTTCTTCTGAGAAACTATATAAAATGGAATAAAATTCACATTCAGGATATATTAATTACTTTTTTGAAACATTGAGCTTGCTTGTATATAGATACCATAATTCCAATTTTTTCAATGCTGATAGAAATGCTATAAACTTTATAGTGCTTTTGTAGCAACTTATGACAATTTATCATAGGAGGAGACCCATAAAGCTTCTGTTTTTTTGTTCTTGTTTTTTTTTTTAAATGGATGGAGGCAGCCATGGGATGAAAGAATGTGATGATTCAGCTTAATGTTCTTCACTGAATATTTCTGTTGTTGGAACTTTCTGCTTCTGCAATAAACATGTTTTCTTAAATACAGTATTAGAAATAGACTGCATACTTTAGACCTTTTTTGTTATCTGAGAGTTCTGTTCGATGACTTTTCAATATTCTTTGCCATTTTGCCTTCCACATTCACACAATTTTCTTCTGTTCTAATTGCACCTGTGTGTCTTCTCATTGATTGAAGATCACTGCCCGCTTGAATGAACAGAACCACAGATCTGATCATTAATCAGAGTACGTATATAAGGACACAATTTGGGGGGGGAAGCTTTAAATTTCCTGTCAGGAATGCTTTCCACAATGAAAAAATACTTCCCTCCTCATAATCCGTATATTTTGCAGGTAGGGTCACTAGATAGCATGTGAAGGTCCCTTGAGGTTTCCAAACAGCTTAAATATGTGATTAAGCTGAAATTCTGGTGTTGACTCAGTCATTAATAATTATGCTATTGATTTCTTTGGCGCAAGGCTTTACACTTGGTCTCCATTCCCAGGATTCCTTTTTCCATGTCTTTCTCAACAGCAAATGACTATTAGATTATGCCTATTGGGTAAACTCTTTAAGCATCAACAGGATTTTTACTCTCCAACTTCTCTAGAGGCTTTCATAGTCAACTTTATGAATGAGCGCTACGCAGACACACAGCTCATAAATAAACTTCTAAAACATCTAGAACAGATCACTAGTATTATAAAACAATTTTTTCTTGCAATGCACTACAGCATGCACTGTACCTGTCAGTCCAGCTATATAATAGATCTGATTGTTCCACATTATTTACAGATTATAACTTTTGTTTTGGAAAACGAGTGACAAATTACACAAAAAAAATGAGAGGTGCTGTTTGTGTGAAAAGAGTGATATTTCTGGTTCAGCATGGCTAGATACATTTTGACTGGGAGGAGCTTAAAGTACATGGCCAGATAGGTGGTGGCGTAGAGGTTGGAGGCATTAAGGAGTGGAGACAGAGACTTTAAAGCTGTGGATGAGTGTGAATAGAAATTCTAAATAGAAGAGCTACTGAAATGCTTTTGAATACTTTCTGTTGACCAGTCAGCTTATGACCTAGTTGTCGAAGTGCTTTTTTGTGTGCTTGTCATGATGCATAATTCCTTTAGACTTTGTATTCATTCTCAGATTTTCTTTATAGTTGTTTGATTTCATTGTTAATGAACATGACAAATTCAATATTGTTTGTCTCTGTTCCAAAAAGCCAATATAACCAATTGTTTGCTGTCCTGGTTTCAGTTAGGACAGAGTTAATTTTCTTCCTAGTAGCTGGTAGGGTGCTGTGTTTTGGATAGGGATGAGAAGAGTGCTGATAACATGCTGATGTTTTAATTGTTGCAGAGCAGTGCTCACACCAAGGCAAGGACGTTTCAGCTTCTCACTGTCTCGCCAGCAGGCAGGCTGAGGGTGCAGCAAGAGCTGGGAGGGGAGAGACCCAAGACAGCTGACCCAAACTAGCCAAAGGGGTATTCCATACCATCTGACGTCATGTTAAAGAATATATAGGGGTGGCTAGCAGGGGTGGGATGGCCAGACTGCTCGGAGTTAGGCTGGGCATAGGTCAGCAGGTGGTGAGCAATTGCCTTGTGCATCACTTGTTTCGTACACATTATTAGTAGTAGTACTATTATCATCATTATTGTTATTATTATTTTTCTGTCTTAATAAACCGTCTCTATCTCAGCTCGCAGGCTTCACTTTCCCATTTCTCTCCCCCATCCCAGAGAGGGAGGGGGGAGGGTGAGCAAACAGCTGTGTGGTGTGTAGCTGCTGGCCCGGTTAAACCACAGCATTTGCTTTCATGGAGTCACAGACTAGTTGAGGTTGTAAGGGACCTCTGCAGGTCATCTGATCCAATCCCTCTGCTCAAGGAGGAACACTTCGAACAGGTTGCCCAGGACCCTGTCCGCGTGGCTTTTTAGCTTTTCAAGGAGGAAGACTCCAGCACCTTTCCGGGCAAACTGCTCTGGTGCTCCACCACCTTCACAGTAAAGAAATATTTCCTGATGTTCAGGCAGAACTTCCTGTTTTCCAGTTTCTGCCAATTGCCTCTTGTTCTGATTTTTTCTTTAAGAACTGCCTGAAACAACTGTAATGGAAGAGGATGTTCACGAGACAGAGACATGGGCTAGGCCTCTGATCTCCCTTTGGCAGACGAGAGTACCTAATTTCAGTGCTGAAAAAGAATACAATGCAGCTTGTGCAAAAAAGGAACCTCACTGTGCCATTTGCACTCTTCTCATGCCATACTATAAGGTAAGCAAGATCCTTAGACTTCTACCTCTGAGTAGCATGTGAGATATCTGCCCAGCTACAGCATTTACAGTAAATAAGTAGCAAATTAGGAATCAGATAAAATTATGCATTTGGTTTGTATGAAAAGTAAATTAACTCAATATCATTAAAATTAGTACTGATACTCTATCTACCTGCATTCATCCTTGGTTGCAGACAGTTTGGTGCTTATGTAGAGAAAAGTTACACTTTTGAAGGTGATGAATCCACACAGGTTTGCATCTTTTAGCTACTTTCTTATATGTCAAATGTTTTTCATCAGAGCCTTTTCCTCATCTCCTTTCTGCAGTGTTGAAAAAATAACTTTTCACGGTACTTCTTAGGAATAGTATTCTCATAGAAACATTCTAATGCAATGTACTGTTCAATATCGGCATATGGAATTTGTGTCAAACAGCAACTAAAAATACTGATACAGTTCCCTAGTACTAATTCTGAAACTATTAAATAGGAAGCCCAACTGCGTGGGAACTGGAAAAAATATTTGCACTGGACCCAGGTAGAAGACTTAAAGGGAGTCAGTTGTACAATATCATTGAATGTGGTTGCAATAACGTTAATTTGCAGATTGAGTGCTTTTTTAGATTTCATACTTATTTGAATAATTAAGGAACTATGGAATGATTGTGATAGATACCCATAAGCAGTTGATTTTTTAATAAAACATTGTTAATGGGGAGCTGGGGGAGGAGGTCATTTTATCATCATCAAAAGGAGCAGTAAGACAGACTTTTTTTTTTTAACTTAAATATAGATTTTGTTTATTTTCCAGCCAGACAATCATGCAGAAGAAGGTTCCACTTACAGGGAAACAAACTCAGAAGAAATATTGATGAATGAAAATGAAAAATCTAAACCTCTTATTCCAGAGATGTGTTTTATTTATAGTGAAGAAAACACTGAAAACTATCCATCAAATGCCTTTATTGAAGAAGATGGAACAAGTCTTCTGATTTCATGTGCAAAGTGTTGTGTTCGAGTTCATGCAAGTAAATAAATTAATTGCTCAGTTAGCAGCAGTGTAATTTCAAATTGTTTTATTGATAAATGATAGTTAATGAGATTTCTGTTATGTCTAAGTAAGTACTGGGAAAACATTTCCATAATTAATGCTCGAGAACTCTGGCTACATTTTTTTAACCTGTATTCTATTATATGTTAATGGTTGCCGTGAAAATATCAAAGAGTTAACTTCCCTGTAAACCATCATAACCTTGGGGAGCACAGACTTCTAATTTTTCTTTCAACTCAGAGTGGTAAAATTCCTCTTTTACTCATCATTTTAAAGCACTGCATAATATTGATATATTCTTATTAAGTAGTAAGGGTGAAATAATGCTATTTGAGGGCTTGCAAATACTGCTATTGACTTGAGGTATGCAGTAATTTCCTCCACCTTGCATTTTTTTATTTCAAGTAACTGATGAATGCATGAACATTCAGCAGTATCTTCTATAGACAGTAGGGCTTATAAAGTAAAATAAAATCCTTACTTCCAAGTAAAATCCTTACATGGAAGTGTGGTGTAATTGCATAGAATGAATGTCAGTACATTGATTCAAATTGTACTATGTTACTGCAGGAAGAGTTGATGACTTGCTATTGAACTCAGAAAGTAATAAATACTCTGTATATATATATTTATTTTATTTTATTTTTTTTTTTAAGTTTTGGGAAGTGCGTGTATATACACATACATATATGGAATGTGTGTTTGTGTATACACATATGTATATGGCATTTGTGCGTACTTACATATACGGAATAGCAGTAAGCCTAGCATTAGGAAAGTCTCCTTGGTCACAGGGTCACAGTTTATGTTTGACTAGTGTTTGTACACAGTTGAATTGTATAACATCATAGACAGAAAGGCGGAATATATTACTCTGGGAGTATTGGTTGATAGTCGGCTGAATATGAGCCAGCAGTGTGCTCAGGTGGCCAACAGCATCCTGGCTTGTATAAGAAGCAGTGTGGCCAGCAGGACTAGGGAAGTGGTTGTTCCCCTGTACTCAGCTCTGGTAAGGCCGCACCTCGAGTACTGTGTTCAGTTTTGGGCCCCTCACTACAAGAAGGACATCGAGGTGCTCGAGCGAGTCCAGAGAAGGGCAGTGAAGCTGGTGAGGGGTCTGGAGACCAAGTCCTACGAGGAGCGGCTGAGGGAGCTGGGCTTGTTCAGCCTGGAGAAGAGGAGGCTCAGGGGCGACCTTATGGCTCTGTATAAGTACATTAAAGGAGGCTGTACTGAGGTGGGGATTGGTCTATTCTTCCACGTGCCAGGTGACAGGATGAGGGGGTATGGGCTAAAGTTGCGCCAGGGAAGCTTCAGATTGGATGTTAGGAAAAGCTTCTTTATTGAAAGGGCTGTTAGGCACTGGAACAGGCTGCCCAGGGAAGTGGTTGAGTCACCATCCGTGGAGGTCTTTAAAAGACGTTTAGATGTAGAGCTTAGTGATATGGCTTAGTGGAGGACTTGTTAGTGTTAGGTCAGAGGTTGGACTAGGTGATCTTGGAGATCTCTTCCAACCTAGACAATTCTGTGTGTTTCTGTGTACTCAAATTAAGTCTCTTATTCTAGGTTGCTACGGTGTTCCTTCTCATGAAATCCATAACGAATGGTTGTGTTCGCGATGCAGAAAAGAAGCCTGGACAGCCGTAAGTTTTATAATTTGCTTGGTTATCTAAAACATAACAGATCCAAAAAAAAAAAAAAAGGAAAAAAAAAAATAATGCAAAAACACATGCATTATTCCATACGGAATGTAGCTTTTGCGTATGTTTTTTACTTAACGCACTTTTGCTGAGAAAAAATTATCTGCAAAATATTATTAGATTTCAATGTAAAATGTAACTCCATTGAGAGAGACAAACTTGGAGAAGGTCTACACACAGGAAAAAGGGCTTGGCTCACAGAATATAGATGTAAAACCTTGTTCAGTGAAATAACTGAAAATTTAAATGCACGTGAGAGAGAGAAAATGAGATTTGCTCAAAATATTTTAGACTTTTGGTTATGTATGTGTGGGCAGCTGGAGAATAGAGAAAGGGAAAGAGAATAATATATTACATTCAAGAATGAAATTGTTCTTTTACAGCATTTGGCTTTACTATGCTGTATAGTCAGAGAAAGGTTTCACTTTTGAAGCCCCTAAATGACTATTGTTTGATATTAAAAGCAGTATGCAGTAGTTTTATATAGTCAGGAATAAATAGAAAAGTAGTTAATAAAATCTCTAAACATACATTCATTTAAAAAACAACCAGTTTAAATTCTTATGTTTCACCAACATTCATCTGTCAGCTGCACTGGTAAGTCAGATAATACTTATTTTCTTTAAAACAACTTAAGGAAATGTGGTAATCAGTTTTGATGTCAGCACAGCTTTTTTTCATTCAATTATTGAATTAAAAGCAGATATTTCAAGTGCTTTAAAAATGTAAATCCTTATATGACATGATAAAATTTTGAGATATTTTGAAGAAGATATGAGGATTCAAACTACTGGAAAATGTGATATCACTTTGTCAAACATCAAAGTGAAAGTAGCAATAAATGTAAAACCTTTGAATTTCTAGACTCTCAACTTTTTAAGGTTCATTTGTAAATGCTAAGGAAACAACAATGTTAAGGAAACAAAAAAGAAACTGATGCTTTTACTGCAGATGTTACCTAAGCTGGGAAAAATAAAACAAAATAGTGACTTACAATCGCTCATTACAAAAATATAGTCCATAAATAATGTTTAGCCCTGTTTTCTCAGTGAATAGTTATTAAAATACTTATTGAATCAATTTCTATCTCTGTAATGTGTTTTCATCTTAGAAGTCAAGGCTTTCTTACTAGGTAAAATCCAATTTTCATCTTGCGTAGGTAATCAGAAAACCTTGTTATAGCTTTCTTATCAGACAATTGTGAGTTTCAGGATCTCAGGAACTGCTTTTCTAACTATTGTTCTAGTCAGGAGAAGGTCAAGGGGGAAAGAAAGAAGTCTTTCCTAGCAAATGAAAGGTTGTTGTTAACACGGTGTCTAATTATCAGATAAGCAGGGTTACGCAGCCCCACTCTTCTATCAGAAAGTTGTGTTAATTTCCTTTTGGGGAGAACAGGCCTGTGATAAATAACAGAATTTTAAGTAGAACATCCATTTTCATGAGATCTCTTGTATGAGAGCAATAGGATAACTGTTTTTGTTAAAAACTGAAAAATTTAGAACATTAGCTTGGACCCTGATGCTAATTACCATAGAACAGTAACACATTTGTAGGGAAGTTTGAAGAAATCTTTGTCTGTCAAGTGCATGTTCATCAAAAGTCACTGAAAAAAATTAAAACAAAATTCAGTCCTATAATTTGTTAATGCTTGTTGTAGATAGGATTCTAAAATTGTTCTGGTACTTTAAGGTTATTTTGCAAATCTTCTTGAAGTGAAGAGGACAATCAGATAGCACAACAGTGTGGAATATAAGAACAAATATGGATAATTACTGACATTATCGTGACATTACTGATAATTATTTCTAAACATTGGACAGTAACAGAGTACAAAGCATATGTATTTAAAGAAAAAACACCTGATATTTTTTTGCCGTGACAGCTTCTGTAAATAGTGAACAAACAAAAGATTTGGTGCATCCAAACTTTCCGATTAGGTTAATGCTGTAAATTCTGATACTCAAGCCACGTAAGAGAGATGGTCTAGGTCAGTTGCTGCCAAACATGCATGTAGGAATATAGATCTGTTTTCAGCCCTCAGTATCTCAAGCCACCAGCCATCATTTTCATGATGACTCTTTTCATGACTCTTAACTTAAGTCATTGAAAGGGTGATAAAATTCTGTGCAACATTTGCTGATAACTCTTCATGTCCTTTTGGAACTTAATTGGTAATCTAGAGTGGTCTATTTTAAGTAATCTAAGATGATCACATGGGGGATGGGGAAATTTCATGTGGAACTGCCAAGGTGTTAAACTTCTAGGATATGTCAAAGGTTTTTCCGTAACTGTCTATTACTTGTCAAGTAGCATTCAAAATATTTTTTCTTCATTTATTTCAATATTTCAGTGAAACGAAAGGCTCAGTAAAGAACTATTCCTGATGAGTTTTGTACAGGAAGAACCAAGGACCCAAGGCATTTCATAGGCTGAGCTTTACTATTTTGGGTTTGAATGTGCTGTTTTGTGTGGTAGTAATAATATTACAGTATTGAAGAAATAGTGTAAAATAAATTATTTTACAGAATTCAGTGGAGATAGGTACAGTACTTGTAGGTTGTAGGGCACTGGAGCAGGGTCCCCAGGGAAGTTCTTATGGCACCAAGCCAGGTGGACTTCAAGAACCATTTGGACAATGCTAAACTGTATGCAGACATACAGTTTAATTTTTAGGTGAGCCTGTGTGGAGCCAGAAGTTGGACTCTTTGTGGGTCCCTTCCAATTTGGGATACTCCATGATTCTGTACTTACAAGAGTTATCATCTGTGCATATACAAGATGAGAGTGTCTGGCTAGGCAATAGCTCCTGTTGCCATCTGGAGTTTTGACCACTCTGGTCACAATGCTAATGAACGTTATGAGGTCTATAAATCATGAAACATCAGACCAGGATGTTTAAGTTTATATTGGGATTGAAGCCTGGAAAAGATACGGAATAATCTTTTTTTTTCTCTTAATGTTTGATGAGAGACCAGCTGAGGAACTGTGTCTGGCAGTGAACACACATGCTTCAGAAATATTCATTAGACTGAACGGGCTGGAAGAAAACAAGAGATGACATGAATATCTAATTAAAAATATATACATATTTTTAATTCTTTCAATCATTCCTCATAGACAGCAATCATTTGTTAAGGGAGGATTGAAAAAAATTAAGCTTCTTCAGTGTAGCCAGGAGAAAATAGGAAATAAGTAGTAGTGTCATATATACAATTATATGTATACATTAAAGATGAACATAATCAATTGCCATTCCTTCATTTTAGGAACAAAGTGAGTTGTAGCAGCTTTAAACTGTATCAATAGAAGCTTATGTTAATACCATGACATCCTGCACATTTTTCTTTCTAAAAATAGTGAAATACTGGAACACGCTGTAAAGATTTTGTAGAATCTACTCCTTTAAGATTTTTAAATGTTAGACAAACATTTGTCAGGAGTAGTTGAGGAAGAGTTGATCATGGCTAAAGTCAGAAAACCAAAATAGGCACAGGTTACTTTTTTCTATTGATCTCTTATTTCTGTTTGAACAGTATTACTCATTGCAAAGCAGTGTGATTGTAACTATAGTTCTCTTTGGTGAAGAAAATCATCAATTGGATAGACAACTGTATTACTGTAGTTCTGCTTGCATGGAATTCCTTGCTGACATCAGCATGATTAAGAACTGCTGATACTTATTTGGGTCCCATTTGTCATTTTAGCATCAAGCTTCTGTTTCTTCAAAGATCGGACAATACCCTTAGATTATCCTAAGAGTATTCACTTCAAAGCAGTATAGTGCTTTAATCTAATCTTAGCTTCATACTTAAGATAAATGTGGTTTTCCTTTAAGCGGTCTTTTGTGGATGTTTAAAGAAAAAGCAAGTTAATTAAATATACTGCTGCCCAGAGTACTACTTTCCTTTTAAAAAAATATGCAATTAGTGTTAGTCATGCCAACCTGCAGCTGGAAATTTTACACTCCCTTTGAATTATATGCTTATGTTTCTTTCACAAATCAGTTTTTTATTTGTTTATTCTTTTTATATCTGTTGTTACACATATGATGCGTTAATTGTATTTTAAATTGCTGCGTAGCACCACAAGCCTGTCTGGAAGGGGAGAACATAGTTAAAGAAAAGTACTTATTTGCATGACTGTTTTTGATGTAGGGAATACAGAGTGAATATACTTCACATTTCAGCTAAGATAGTTCAGACTTAAAGTTTCTATATGAAACAAAAGCAAAAAAATTGCTCATCTAAATTTGTGTTCAGGGTAAGCATTCCTAAACAGTACAACTGTTGTGGAAGATGTGGAACTGAGATCTGACTCATAATCCCTATAACAGGGATTATATACACACATGTTTTCAAAAATTAAATTCTTGCTTCAGGAAAGTGCACAAAATCATAAGATTTTTTATTATCCAAAAGTATCTGTTTCTTGAAACTCTGACTAATGGAATGTCTGAAATTTGGTTTTCTTCCTTGTCACATTGATTCCTAGAAGGAGGAGATTTAGCTGAGGAAGACCTGTCTGAAGAATTCTTTTCTGGGTAAAGCTTTAAATCCTGGAGGGAAGATTGATTGGAAAGCAAGGAGAAAGAGAAGTTTTGTGTGGTGGAGAATAAAATGGAAGTTATGAAACAAAACAGTGTTACAAATGCTGGTTTAGAGTTCATAAGTCATGTCTTAGGGGGGAGAGTTCCTTCTAATTCCTTTGGTTAAACAATAAAGTGTTGTTGTTAATTTTGTTAAATAATACTTAAACTCCAGGTATTTATGTTAACTTTATAGAAAATCCGTTTTCTACTAGGTTTTATATATTTGTACAATTTTCTAAACAATGAAAGATGAAAGCAGTTACTAAATAATATAAATAAAACTAATACCTAAATGAAACTGTATTTTGTGTGAATCCCAAATAGGAATGCCATTAAAATTTGAAATGGAAAAATG